AGACTGACAGAAGCGAGGCAGCCATATCGCGCCATCGGTCCTTCTGGCCAACACCAGTAGGCGGTAGGTGAAGTGTCTTGCCCAAGGACACAACGACCGAGACTGTCCGAGCCGGGGCTCGAACCAGCAACCTTCCAATTACAAGGCGAACTCCCAACTCTTGAGCCACGATTTTGTTATTGTTTTTATCGTTAACTCTGTTTTCCTGGTCTTTTCACGTGTGTTATGAATAAATCTTCTTTTTTTTCGGTACCTGTACTAGTTTTATTTTGTTGTATTTATCCGCGACATCTTAAAGGCCGGTCCGTGAAAATATTGTCAGGCATAAACCGGTCCGTGGTGCAAAAAAGGTTGGGGACCGCTGGTATATGACATGAAAGAACACAGTTATTATCAGATTATTATGATGACCCAGTATGTAACATTAATTCTAGAACACCAATTTGCAGTTCTGAAACATTACCTCTAATGTTACGTATAATTTACTTGATAAAACACACTTCCCATAAAAGTATATTAAATTACAACAATACCTGACAAAAAAAAGTACTCATTTCCCCATGTACATTGTCACAAAAAGAAAAAACAATGAAAATCATGTGGGTGAAAAAAAATAAATCACTCAACATTAGTATTATAGGGTTAATTCCTTATAACTATTTGGGCAGCTTCTTACCTGATGGACGAAAGGTGATGACCATATCTTCCATTTTCTGAGTGACCAAAGGGGGGGAAATGTTAATCAGTGACATAAAGGAAAGAAAAATAAAATAAGTAAATCATTTTATTAAAAGATTTTTAACTCACCAAAGGTGCTCTGGTGCTGCCCAAGACACCACTATCAGAATCAGAGTCTGAATCTGACATTTTGTTCAGCTCTGTAAAAACATTCACATCAACCACCAAAGCCAATTTTACAGTACATGCTAAAAAGATGTAAATACATTTCTGCCGATGATTTGAATTTACTTCAGTGAATGCAAATCAACAAGCAGAAGCTTCTGTCTATATTACAGTGAAACTACAACACAACTGACCATACAAGAGAAAATCTAGTTCAATTTAATTCAGCTTGGCTCCACCTCTCTGCAATAAAATGTTCAAACTATTTAGATATTATGTGAAAAAAAAAGCTCTTAAAAAAATAAAATCTATCACACCATAACCTGCAATCTCACTGAATGTCAGCTGCCTTTTGTTCTGTTCTCTGTTAAAATAATCCCACGCTGTCTCAATGTGGTTCGGGCTCTGGGAAGGCCAAACTGGCAGACTGATAGAAAACCACAAAGTGAAAAACTATCCAGGTATATTTTTACAGCACTGGCAGTGTGTTTGGGATCATTGTCATACTAAAAAATAAAGCCGTTGCCAATCAGATGTTTTCCAAGACTTTCAGATATTCTTCATCCGCTATAGATATTTTTTTTAGGCTTGCCACTTCTTATTCCACTACTTAAGTTGTCTCAAATTTTTGGTGGTTGGTTTTTGGTGGTTCCATCATGCTGCGGGGCTGTGTGGCCGGTGCAGGGACTGGGAATCTTGTCAAAGTTGAGGGACACATGGATTCCCCTCAGTATCAGCAGATTCTGGAGACCAATATCCAGGAATCAGTGACAAAGCTAAAGCTGCGCCGGGGCTGGATCTTTCAACAAGACAACAACCCGAAACACTGCTTAAAATCCACTTAGGCATTCATGCAGAGGAACAAGTACAACGCTCTGGAGTGCCCATCTCAGTCCCCAGACCTGAATATTATTGAAAATCTGTGGTGTGAGTTAAAGAGAGCTGTCCATGCTGGGAAGCAAACCTGAATGTACTAGAGATGTTTTGTAAAGAGGAATGGTCCAAAATACCTTCAACCACAAGACTCTCACCTACAGGAAGCATTTAGAGGCTGTAATTTCTGCAAAAGACGGCTCTACTAAATATTGATTTCATAAATTTTTTTGTGGTGCCCAAATTTATGCACCTGCCTGATTGTTTAAACAATCATTGCACACTTTCTGTAAATCCAATAAACTTCATTTCACTTCTCAAATATCACTGGACTGAATATGAGTGAAAAAATAATCCAAAGAAAAATCTGGAAAACTACTACTCAAGACAACTCTAAAAATAAAAGTCTGGTTACCAGCAAAATATAAATGAATGAGCGGACTTTTTGACAATATTGTACTGTCTCTGTCGCCATCCCTGGCTGAGTTTGCCCTTTTGTTTGCTCAGTAAGATTTTAAACACCACACCCACACATACAATCGACAGTGTTATCTAACAGAACCAGACTTCCTCATGCAGTCTCCTCTCAAGGATTCATTTTTTACACAACTTGGGAATATACTGAGAACCAAACTGCAGTTTCCCCAATATCCAGTGACCGGGTGTGGTGAACTAGTCTTCCATCATAGTAAGGCCATTACGCAGAGAGCGGGCATGTAAGACACCTGAAAATCATGAGGTGATGCCCAATATATATGCAGGCAACCCCAGGTACAGTCTGAGTTATTACTAGAAATGCTTGAAGCTCATGGTCCCCCGACCTAAAACAAAAAAGATGGAGGACTGTCCTACTAGTTGAAACCTAATCTCACAGGAATTTGCCCCAATAACAATGTTAGCACTGTAGCATATGAGCTAACCTACGTAGTGGCTTACAGAGCCATGTTAAACGGCTGGTAGCGGAAATATAACACAATGCAGTAAGTGTAAGCAACATTAGCTTTAGCTTACACATACTTTCTAACAACGTGGCATACGTTAATGACTGTACAACAACGTTTTGACACTTTTTCTCCTACTTTGTTTTAGCGCGACACCTCCCAGCATCAGCCTCAGCCAGCCTCGTAGTGTAGCTGGGTGTTGTTTTTTTACTGGGGGGGAAATAAAATAGTATGGACAAATAACAAACAGCAGAAATTCAAACACGTACCTTATGGTAACTGCTGTATGGATGCTTCACAGTAACCCTCGTTGCTCCTGTTCATGCTAGTGTACGGAAATGAAGGCGCGGTTAACACACGCATGCGTCAAAGTAGGCGGATCCCGCGAATGAATTGCGTAAATTTCCCGCAACAAACATTTTTGTTATTTCAGGGTTTGCTTGGTTTTTTTCCTGATTTGGTGAAAGAGCTTACGAAATTAAATATAATTATTTTAAAAATAATTTTTTGTAATAAAATACCTGTTAGGGAAATTAGCATTAGCTGAATCATCGCGTCTTACAAGCAAAACCGGTCATGATATTATAATAATATTATGAATACTATTCTTACATAAACTAAACTAAAATGTGCACTTGTTTTGTCTAGAAGGAGAGAAAAATCATTTTACCCGTTTAGCTGCGTTCACTACTATTCACTGTTGAATAGCGCCTCCTGCTGCATCCGGAGCTGAACTACAACTGTACAATTGGAGTGGTGATGCCCCTCCACAGATGTACGCGCTGTTATTAATTTATATTTTTAGGTAAACAAATTACGTTAAAAATAAAGTAACTGAGTAAATGATAATGAAATTTCACACTATCTTTTTCAGTTTTATTTGCGTTTATTATTATTAATTGTTAAGTTTTGTTTTTAGTTCAGTTTCATTTCAGGCAGTCTCCAGTGGGAAACTGCTCATTGAAGTTCAGTTTTAATTCTAATTAAATGTTAAGTTTCAGTTAAATTTTCTCGTATACAATGTTAAGTTTTGTTTAGGTTAGTCTCAGTTTCATTTATTACAATGTGTGCTATATTTTTTATTGTCTTCTCTTTGGATTACACTATCTACTAGTATCTAATAGTTTTGCTTTTGTGGTACAACTTGTCATGTTTACTCAATCCAGCAATAGGGCTGAATTAAAATTGCATTTCCATAGTTTTTATGATTAAGAATTTTATGAATTTTATGTTCAAAGTATTTTACATAGTTTGTGTTTGCATTATTGTGAAAAATAATCAATACCATTTAAGAACTGTCACTAGTTCTTTTTTCCAAATGTGAGGTTTTTTATTAGGGTCTGTTCAAATTTGAAATGACATTTGACATTTGATGACGATTTGAAGAAAACACTTTCATTTGTTTCCTAAATTATGTGAAAAATTTCATACTGTTCATGCGAAATTTGTATTGAAAGGGTCTTATATATGTGGTAACTGACCCAGTTTAATACACTGGTAGAAAATAGGAAACACAATTGTGCTTTTCTGACTGTAACAATGTTGTGTTAGTTTTTGTGGCTGACTAATCAGATATTTGTTTTTGTCTAATTTGTCCTCAGTTCGAAGTCATCCCTCTGCCTTAGCAGGCTCTGAAAAACTCCGTCAGCATACAGGAAAAAATTTCCGTTGCTCTCCAGGTCCTGCACGTTGATTATTCGAGTCACCAGAGCTTCTTGTATGGCTGGAGACTCACAGGGGTGATGCTGCACACTGTGACTCACGTTTCTCGAGGGCTCGATGACTAACAGTCCAAGCATGCTGCCATCCTCCGTCCTGCTGTATCTGGATGAAGTGTAGAGGGTGTCTCCTGTCATCGTGGTGTCATTGCTTCCATTTAGGACATTAAATCCAAAGTCTCCACCTGCTTCATCAGTTTTACAGCCTCTGTTAATTCCTGCAGTTGAACTGGGTGTGGCAGATTTACTACTTGGCCCAACCTGGCTACCATTAACAAGGAGGCTGTTGGAGCATGTCATATTGGTTATAGTAGATGTGTTAGCATGTTTAGGTCTGTTGGCAGCATTGGTTCTTGGTTTTTGTGGACCAGGAGCTGGAGTCTCCTGGATGTTTGCGCGTAGGTAGGCTGTATAGCCCCGAACCAGGTGACCTAACCCCGTCTTATAAGAAATGCGCATTGATTCAACTGATCCTAATGGCACAGACTGCAGACGGGCCTGCGGGAAGAGGAAAGTGCTTTAAAATCAACTCAATACCTCCCACTCAAAGCTCTCTGTAGCTTTGGTTTTGTGCCATCATCTAAAGGGAGAGAAAGAACCTGCAATATGGGATGTAAACACTTACCTACATACGAAGCAGATTTTACAACGTAGAGGCGTACCGATGCACTACAGTAAACACATACTATCATAACCTGAGCTGGATGTGTTTTCATCTATCTGTTCTGACCTGGTGGATTCTCATGTGCAGGTGAATTGCAGCTCCTGTCAGCCACTGCTGCATCGACGCTGAACTCATTCTCTTCCTTGTGGTCATCCTATCATAATGGTCGAGAAGCTCAAATTTCAGCCAGTTATCGTAGAGCTCTGTGGTCTCAGCCATCTGATCCTGGTTGTTGGCGATGCCTGGGATAAGGGTGAGGAAGCTGTGGATAATCCAGCCGATTCTCGATGAGCTGCTGATGCCAAAAATCCTCTTAAGCCGGGATGGTTGAGTTAACGAGGGACCCTCTGTTGATCCTTGTGCTCGGACCTGTTTGGAATACGAAGCACAGTTTATAACACAAACTGTCACGCTGGCCCAAACACGGACAGAAAATGAGGTAGTATTTGTGTCAATAGAGTACTTCAGACATTAAAGAAAGACACCTCATAACTCCAAACACAGAGAGCCAGAAAGAGGGAAAATGGGAAAAAACACAAGGCTTTTTTATTTCATGAATTTGTGACTCCTTGGGTACGTTCCAGTAGTCCATTTTGCTTAGAGAGGTTTCTAACAGAGTGAAATGACACCAAAGTATCTGCATGGCAGTCATCATTTGAGCAAAGAGTGACACACATTCTCCAAATGCTTAGAAAAGGAGCTTCCATAGAGGATACAACTCTATCCACAATCACTCTCCTTCGTCCTCAAGATATCTTTTAGGAATTGAGACATCTGGTGCAGGAGGGAAATAAAAATACTCTCCAAAAGTAGATGTAAGCCCCAGAATTTGAATGTTTGTCCCTTTGGAGATGCCACAGGTTTTAGAACAGAACCTTCCTGCTGCAAGACCATTAAACCACTGCCAGTATATTTATAGCTAACTCATGTAAGTAATCTAATTACACTATCAAGCACATAAGGTTGGTTAGTCCTCTGCTCACTCCCTGTTTAGTCTGCGGTCCATTTTCTTCCACTTATGCACTTTAGGGTCATGGGCTGGGTGGCTGAAGCCAGGCTGGACTGTTAATCGGGCATACCGGCCATTTGCCCAATGGGTCAATATAGTTGTTTTTTCTTTTTTGATATAACTAAACATGCTGCAGGCCGGCTGCTGTGCACCCACCCTACAAGCACTGATAGCAGCCCAGTGGTTCATTTTTATTACTGACATGGGATTGCCTGATCAAATCTCTTAAAACAACTGGTGCTTCCCCTTTCCCCTGTGTGCTCAGGGTAAGAGGTAAGAAACTAGATGTAGGGACAGTTTTTAGGAAGGAAGAAATTCAAGTAAAATGAATAGCTACTTTGATCATGAGCCATTTCTAAAGTGCAATGGTCACATATTGCACTACTGTCCAACTAAGATGTCCTAACCCAAAATAAAATGTTTTTCATTTTATGTATTTATTTATTTATGGTGGGCAAAACAAAACTGAAAATGTTAAACTATAATCCTAAAAACAAAACCTAAAATTTTGACTTAATAACTCAAAATTTCATTTCATTTTCTTGTTTTCGAGTCAGAAGTTCCATTTAGGAAGTCAACATTTGTAATTATGTATGGCATAAAAAATATATGAATAAAATAAAGTTTTGTGGTGGAAGGAGGGTTCTATAGTTGTACAAACAGTGAAATGAGAAAGGATGATATACCAAAGAGACAGAAGGATGTAAAAGGTATAATATTGGGGGTAGTGTAGGAAGTAAAAAGGCAACAAAACCACATGAAGATTGGACCTTCAGGATGTAAAACAGGATGTAAAGTGAAAGTGGGAACACAGACACAGCAAAGAGGGGGGAAAGTGATGATAATAAAAAATAATCTCACACTAACATTAGACAAAATGCAACAGTTTTACATACCTGTTGAGCAACCTGATCAAAAAGCATGGACAGAGCCAGAGCAACAACCCCCACTCCTCCACAGGTTGCCCTGCTGCCCCCCAGCTTCGCCGTCAGGTTGAGGTTGAACGTGCTCTGCTGCTCCATGCTCATGCTCCGCTGTAAGAAGTTGTACTGATGCTGCAACGCTGCTGACGAATCCAGCGACAGGAAGGTGGTGAGAACAGGATCCAAGGAGATATCAGGGATGATACTGGCATCCTGAGCCACCGAGAAGAGCTCCTGGACGGTGGCTCGAGAAGGAAGACACAAACTGCGGCCCGTCAGGATCATGGCTGAATCTGTCTGTGTGTGCTCAGTGTTATCAGTGTTTCTAACCCACTGTGTGTTTATTTGACCCAGTCCGAAGGATGTTATCAGCACGGCCAGTCCTATAAAAGAACTCATGAGCAAAAACACTAATGAGCGAACCATTTGCTCAAATAAAACAAGGTTTTTACACACATACATGTAGCTGCACAAAAAGCTTTTTTATGTTGGTGCAAAGCTGTTTGAGTCAAACAGTGACTCTCTTGTGTGCTTTTTCATTTCCTGTCTCTAAATGTGCAGAAGTAGGAGTGGAACAGCAGAAGCAGGTGGTTTGGTGCTCATTTTAGCATCAAACTATTTATATTTCTACAAAGAAAGCAGTTTCTGTACCCTTAAAGAGAAGCAGTGGGTTGGTTTCACTTCCCTTCATCCTTGAAGATTTTGAGTCTGGTTCACCTCAGTAGTCAGATCACTCTCATCATGTTCAGTCAATCACTGAAGTCAAAAATCTTTCATAGATTTTATTGCTGGGGCAAAAAGGAAGCAGAGAAGCAAGGAGTCCATACCTCTCATGGTTTGTATCTAAGATTTGTATGATCAAAACTCTGAGGTTTTTCTGTCTTTTGAAGAGCTGAGGAATAAATTCAGTATAAAAAGAATAAGTTACTTTAAATGTGATTTTTCTGTATATGATGTTCTGCTTGAGCTGTTTCTCTTTTATCTACATACACACAGTATACTGTATCTCATTTCTTAACATTTTGCTTCCTTCAAAAAAAAACTTTGTTCACATTTCTTTAGTTGAATCTACAAGAAATTCCAAAGATTTGACATTTGACAGGGATAAATTGCATTTTTGGACTAGCAAGGTGATTCCACAAGATCTGTTAGCTCATATCCTATGGTGTGCACTGTGTCCCTAAAAACACTTGTGGAACCTGGACAAATGAGGGACAGAAGAAGACATGGCAGCAGTAGAGGAGTAGAGTAATATTTTTTAAATGCCTGTCAGGGCATCCCCACTGAAAGTGGGGGCCTAGGTAACCCTCTACCATCCTTTCATGTGTCAATCAATCATACCCTTCACTCTCATTGGTAGTCTCTTCAGTCACTTGCCTCAAGGCAGAGGAAAGTTTATCTTTTCTGTAGACAAAGAATAGTTGGATTTTTTTTATGTTGGAATCAATGTGGTTAAAGCATATAAGCCAATAATTTCATTTTGTTATGACATCATCCTGCTGTTCTTTATACCAATATCTCATTAATATTCTTTAATAGATTAGATTACTTAAGTGGATGTCATGCCGTGTTTATCTCACAGTTGGAGTCTGATAAGGCTTTATTTTTCTGTCCATCTGGTCTTGTTTTAGCTTCAGATTGGGTCTCTTTTTCTCTTTTTCAAGACAAATATTTTTAAATTCCTTGTACCTGACTGCTTTGTTTGAAAGTGCTGAAAATGATAAAATGCCTGAGAGCTTTGATAAACTTAAATCTAGCCTTCCAGAAGTCAGAAGTGCCAGGTTTATTTAAAGGTCAATAAATGAACGTAATCAAAATCTGAGCTCTTTTGTAATTAGATCGACATTTAGACACAAACACTGATCATTAACCTCGATGTCAATAAACAAGGTTCACTGGGATGAATTTACTGTGCTGCCCTTCGGCAAAGTCTGAGGCTCAAATAAAAGACCATACCAAAGACCACCAAGTCCTAATATTTAGCTAACAGCACTTCTTGGCTGGGCCTAGGAAAGTGACATCAGACTCTTGCCCATTTGTTTAAGCTCCTCCTTCTGTTTATATTTTTCATATACAGAATGAACAGCATACTTTCTCTATACAGTCCGTACATTAAATTTCTCTTCAGTCTTTCCGTTTATAATATTCAAAGTCTTGAGTTTAAAGTTTTTATGGTACTCTGTGCAGTCCAGAACCCAAATGCAGGACTCAAAAGTAAACAAGATAAACAAAAAAACAAACCTTTATTAAAGATCAAAGGTAAAAGTCCCAAATACACTTCTCCAGGGCAAAAGCATGACTGTTGAGTAGGGACACACAAGAACAACAAGCAGGGTAAATTAAGACACTGGCAAGGGGGAATTAAGGGCTATTAATAATCACAGAAAACACTTAAGGTTAATCCGGAAGATGAAGCACAGCTGGAGAACAACGAACAGGTGAAACTAATCAAAGACAATGAGACATTAGAAATAAAATTGAGGACAAAGTGGAAGAGAGATCGTCTGTTATCTCACTTCCCATACCAAAATAAAATGGGAAGTGAGATAACAGAGGAACAGTATAAGAGCTTTGCATTGAAATGCTGTGGTTTTCTCCAAATATGGTGCTGTACATTATGGCCAAACATCTTCACTTGTTTGGCCAAGAAACCCCACGACGTCCAAGAAGTCGTGCTGTTTGCTCAGATGTTATGATGTACTTTTTCGAGAGAAGAAGCTTTCTTCCAGGTTTCAGACGTGCACCCCAGGGGTCTGCCAACTTCAAAATGTTTAGTTTCAGATCTGTTGTTAACTTACAAGAACACTTTATGTGAAGGTTTTGCGCCTTTCTTCTGGGAGGTGTAAATTACAATGAACATGTAAGGACGAGAGAGTCAATGGGTGCGCGAAAAGTGAGAAAGTCGAAACTGCATATTGTGTATGATCTCAGCCTGTTCATCAATATGACAACAATAACCCATCCTTTAAAATAACTCCTCCATCTGAAACCGAAGGCACTCTAACCACAATCCTTGGTTAGGAGAGTCTTGTACGTTTCTACTTCCGCTCTGGGTAGTTAAAATGAGATATCGCGTAGCTGCCGGACTTCCGTGTTGTCTGCGTGATGACGTAGTCGTCCGGACCCTCACGGTCTGGTCAGCATACCGGGCACAAACGCATCGGAGGCGGAGGTCTGTTTCCAGCTCCTGGACGGTGAAATCACAAACAGGTGAGTACCTGATCGGCACAGCGGGCACACGGCGTGTTCAAAAAGTAACAAAACAAGTAATATTTTTATTTAGCTGCCTTATTTTCCTGCGACGGCCGTTAAAACACAGCTGGACTGGCTGCTCGATGACCTCCAGACTCCAGAAAAATTGAAAGGGAAACCTGATTGAAAGCTTTAAGGACTTGAAGGAGGGCTGAAACTTGTTTTGTGTGTATTTGCGACGGTCTGATCTTAGCTAAATCGACCACCCGTGAGAGATTTGGGTGATACAAAAATACAGGGTAGCGAAACATTTTCATAAGGCGGGTCATTCTTCACTGTTTGAACTGCTCGGGAGCTTTAAATCTGCCCTGAAGCTGTAGCTGGAACGCAATAACGGTTTAACAAACCGTCTTTTGGAAGCTGGAACAAAGAAGCAGCTGGGGGGTGTCGGGAGTTGCAAGAGCGTTCATGGCCCTCTTATGGTTGTAATGGACAGGGCAGCGCCCAGGATCACGGCAGTGGGGGGCCCACAGCAAATCAAAATGCTTGATCAGGAGAAAACCAGATGTGGAAACCGCTGCAGCCCTGTGTCCTGCAGAAGAGTTTAAACATTGTTTTGTCTTGAATAAGAAGTGGATGATCTGATATCGTCGCGTTGGTGTTGATCCTGGAACAACATAGTAAATGTTGTTCCAAGATCAATATTGCAAGTGACTAATCTCATTGTTGTGACGTTATTCTTTGGCGCGCCAAGCCATTTGTGCATTTATGAAATTCCAGTGTTGCAAGGACAATATCAATTCTGCTTAGCGTTTATTAAAGGGTTAGGGTCAGGGTCCGTTGATCAGCGGACAGAGGCGGTTTCTCGCAGCTTAAGTACAGTTTTTTGTTTTATGGCGGTTTTTCCTGAAGTCGCAAAAGTATGACGTCACAACATTCTGATTGGTCACTTGCAATGTTGATCCTGGAACAACATTTACTATGTTGATCTGGGAACAACACCAATACCACGATATCAGATCGTGCAATAAAAAGTCCAGTAAAAGTCACACCCTGCTAATCAGTCTTAGCATCAAAATATACTTAAAGAGTTAAAGTACTCATTCTTATTAGTAGGTCAATATGATTTATTAATTTGTGTGTACACACACACACTTTCAACTTGGGACTTGGGACACTTTCATGTGTGATGTGCTATAAATAGAAAACAGCCTCAATATAAAAGAAAAGTGGGAGCTTGGATTAATGATAGGGTGGGGCGAGGTTTCACAGCGGGTTCACCTGAAACCTTAGCTGACTGTGACCTACACCCATTTTCACACCTGGGCTCCTGTGATTCAGTAGAGGATCAACAGGGGGCCCATGTCTGTCTTGGGGGGACACTCGCATAGGGCTTTAATCTGGGACTCTCCACCATTTGACCCTAGAACTGAAGAAGCTTCTTGGATGAGAGGTGAAACGTCTTCAAGCAACTTAGAGAAGTCCAGACGCTTTTCTTTCCAGCTCCTTAGACCCCGAGCTTGGATTAAGTGTGTCCACTGAGGACATGTGTATGAATTGTCACAAAGGTATTAGTAGTAATCTATGGGAAAAATTTTGATTGGAAGAATAAATTAGAGTTTTTAGAGACTCTCAGGTCTCAGCATCAGATAAAGATTGGAGGAGCTGCAGGTTCATTGGGGATCATGTCTTCTGGGCCTGTCCAATAATCCGGGGATATTGGCAGTTGTTACTATGGTGTTTGTACTTCCTCAGAGCGCTATAGGATAACTGTGAACTGGAGGAAAACATCACCACCCACAATAATCCAGTGGATGCTTAGACTAATATAGATAATTGAGTACATGACATCATAGGTAACAGTAATTCTGATGTATTTGAATGCTTGCTCAGAGGCCTCGAACACTGCATTTTTCATTAGTTTTAATTTTTATTATTAAAATCTTTGCTTTTACATCTTCTTAGTTTCAGCTAGCTTCTGTGTGAGTTCACGTGTTTCACTTTAGTTTTAATTTAGTTTGTAGTAGTTTCTGTATTTGCATCATTTGCTAAACGAAAAAAAACCCAAAGAATTATTTCTTATGCAGAAATAATTCAGGAAACACAGCGATCCCATTATCATTTATTACTGCTGTTCATGCAACATTTATAGAATAATTATGAAGTTAAATTGAACAAAGTGAGAACTGAAACAAATAAAATTGCTGTAATATGTGCAATATTCTCATTCTCATGTTTTCAGACTGATGTAATTCAATCAGATGTAATAAAACTGGTTAAATTATTAAATTCCACTTCCACTTAGTGCTATTTGGCCTGCTGTGCCATTTGACTTAACTGACAGTAATGAAGAAAAGCTAACCTATGAAGACGAATTTTTAGCAAGTTTAAGATTCCTGATAGAACCTGATAGGCTGAGAAAGGCTGTTCCAAAGTTTATGTGCTACAACCTTAAAAGTGTGATTGCCTTGCGTGAGCACCGCCTAGTTTAGTAGTAGGCAGTTGGTTTAAAAAAAAAAAAAAGAATGAATAGATATTCCACTACAATAGATTCCTACATAGCAAACAAAACAGCCTGCTTTGATGAGTGTTTTTCCACTTTGCTGCATATTGTCATTTGCAGCCATCTTTTGCCTGCAGTGTCGTGTTCCCTGCATTTTGGGAGCTCATGATTCTTACTGATTCTGAGAACCTGTCATTAGAGCCTTGCATTTTAGGTTCACCTTTGGAGTGGGTCGTCTGTATATCTATGCTTTAGGTCAGTGTTTCCCAACCTTTTGGAGCCACAGAACATATTTCACATTAGAAAATACACACGGCACACCACCAAACAATAATATCACAAAAAGCATATTGATATTTTATTTTCTGATCTGCTCTTTGGGCTGTTTATGGTTTGAGCTACGCTGTATTCTTACATCTGTTTAGACTCTGTTAGCTTTAGTTACCTGTGACTGAGGGTCGTATTCAGCTAGTTCCCATTTTGTGTTTTCATTCACTTCCTCCTTCTCTCGTCTGTTTGTCTTTTGACTTTAGGCGTTCCCCTGCCTTCCTCTTTCTTCGTTCATGTCAAGTTAATCTTATTTCAGTTTTATTCTCAGTTTTCCTTTGTTGTGTCGTCTGTGTAGCTTTTTGTATTTCTAGTGATTGCTGGCTTTCCTCCTTGTGTATTCTCGCATTTTGTTCTTTATAATTCTCTATTCTTTCGCTGCATTAGATGCTGACTTTATGTTTGTTTTTCACCTGCTGCTCTTGGAGCTGTAAAACTATGAATAGGACATGCAAATCTTCATACTGGGGAGCAGGTAACTCTTAGATCATAGTTAGAGGTAATAAACAAGTGAAACTGGCTTTGTGTTCTACAGCGTCACAGACCACAGTTTCTTTTGAACAATGCCATGAATTAAAGGCAGGTTAGGGTTTATCTGCTGTCAGGATCGCAGGTCCTAAAAGTGAAACTCAATTTTAGACTGATTCCCATCAAGGTGACATGCAGAATATTTACTTTAATTATCCTGATACATTCTGAACTTCTGTTTTACTATACAAACTCAGGCACCAACGCCAACCCCATTATGGTTGCCTGCTGCTTAGTGCGAATGTACATTGACTATCTAAACAACAAGCAGAAATGTGTACATGCTGACATTTGACACATTGATAGTCACTCAGATCCATCATGGAAGTTGTTACAGTGGTAAATGTGGTGTGTGTCCCTTTAGTCACACCTCTTGAGTAGCTAATCCCCACTTAAAGTCTCGGTTATAGAAAATCTTTTCAAAGCACGTTCTGAAACCACACTGCAGTGAAAAAATAATTAGCATTCATCCAAGTCAAGGCTTTTATTCTCTGTATCATGAATAATAATACTGTTAGATAGATGAGTTTGAGACACAGATTGCAGGTCATGCTGGCTGTTAGAAGAGCTGCAGGTTTAAGGCACTCTGCCATAGGGTTCAGGTCCATCTTTTATATACAGTCTATGGTTAATTGCATAAGCAAATACTAATCAAACAGAAAATTAAAAATAATGCTTAGAAGTTATTATATATGGGTAAAAATAGAAACTGTAAATTATCAAAAATTCACCAGAGGGTGCTAAAATAACTTTTCATCCTTTGATTTCTCTCAACTTTCCTGTGATGGACTGAGATACAGGAAAAGGTGGAAGAAATCATGGATGCTGGGAAGTAAGGAGAGGAGAAAGACAAAGTGAAACTGAGTTACGAAGAGTCTGTATTAAGACTGTTTTTATTTTAGTCTGTGTCTGAGTGTTACGGAAGAACTCGATAATTAGAGCGTTCCATTTTTATTGCAGAGTTTTATTAGTGTAGCGCTGCTGGACTGGCATGTTATTCCTGCCTTAACTGTGTGTGTAAACTGTTTAATAATCTGAGCTGCATAAGCAGGCAGCAGCGGGGAGATGGGTCTGACCAGCAGCGCATACAAACACACTAATAAATCAGATGATGAATTTTTCATCCCGTGTCGTCCAGCATTATGAGTCAGCGGACGGAGCGACGGGGGATACACGTGGACCAATCAGACCTGCTGTGCAAAAAAGGATGCGGTTACTATGGCAACGCAGCCTGGCAGGGCCTGTGCTCAAAGTGCTGGAGGGAGGAGTACCAGCGGGTACGGCAGAAACAGATCCAGGATGACTGGGCACTGGCAGAAAAGTAAGACCTTTAGCAGTCCTCAAACGTCTCCAGAGGAAAGCAAAGTGTGAGAGAGGCTAAAAGCAGAAACACAGAACATTGTGCTAAAAAGCTCCATTAATGAATGAACCACTTTATAAATCACCAGGTGCATTCATTTGAAAAGAAACAGACATGCTCATTGCAAGCTTATTGTTTCCCCTCTAATCAACTTTGCTTGGTTCCAGGCTGCAACGAGAGGAGGAGGCAGCGTATGCCAGCAGTCACGGTGTGCAGACTCAGTCCACAACGCCCCCGCAGCCCGGACATGCCTCGCTGGGTCCCTTCTCCAAGTTTGAGGAGAAGAAAACCAATGAAAAGACTCGGAAAGTGACCACCGTCAAGAAGTTCTTCAGCCCTTCGTCACGAACTGCTTCTAAAAAAGGTATCACATTCATTAACATCAATGTGTGTGCACTTGGGGTGCTTTGTGAGTGTTTTGTTGATCAACTCGCAGCTGCATGCTTTAGCCTGAAATAGTCAGGGGTTGGGATTAGGTGTATATTGGTGTTAGTGTCTTACCACGTCCATGCCAATAATAAGCAACTGCAGGAGGTTGTAAAAAGAAATTACGGTGGAAGGTTGTGGTGATAACAGCTCTTCAAATGAGGATGGTTACTGATGATAAGTCATCAGTGGTGGTTTAATATACAGCTGGAGGTCCCAAGAAAAATGAAGACTTCGGGAAGCACATGCTGACTTTAGAAAGTGGTTTCTGTCCTAAGAACAACATCTATATTCTTCCCCTGTCATCAGAGCACCCAGCTGCTTGCCACATTAAAAAATGGCTTAGTTTGCATAAAGCTTAGTTTGCTTTGGCTGCCAAAGCTGAGGAGAATTGCTGTTTTTCTCAGTCCATTCAGTTAAAAGAACCTGAAAGTAATATTTAAATGTTTATAGCTTTCCTTTGTTTTTAAATCTTAAGGTAGAAACAGATGTTGTTGTTCTAGGGGTATCATGCAGTTGTTGGTCAGAGGATAACAACAACTGAAGTTCAAACCAGGCATCAGAAGGATGAAGAAAGGTGATTTAAAAGATTTTAAACGTGGGATGGTTGTTGGTACTAGATGAGCCAGTATTTCAGACCCTGCTGATCTGCTGGAAGCATCTCTAGGGTTTAACAAATATAGTTTGAAAAGGAGAAAATCTTGCAGGAAGTCAGAGGAGAATGGCCAGAGTGCTTTGAGCTGATAAGAAGGCAACAGTCACTCAAATAGTTATTGTAGAAGAGGATCTCTGAGCTCACAGCATGTGGAGCCTTGAAGCAGATAGGCAGCAGCAGCAGAAGACCACCCTGACTGCCATTTCTCTCAGCTAAGAGCAGGAAGCTGAGGCTACAAATCACATAGGTTAACCAAAATTTTTAAAAAAAATAGTAGATTGGAAAAATGTTATCTGGTCTGTGAGTCTTGATTTCTGCTGTGGCATGTGGTAAGGTCAGAATTTAGTGTAAACAACATGAAAGCATGAACCACCCAGCCCTGTATCAGTGGTTCAGGGTGTGTCCGGTGTCCGGGATATGTTCTTGGCACACATTTGGGCTCCTTAGTACCAACTGTGCATCATCTAAAGCCCACAGCCTAGCTGAGTATTGTTGCCAATTACTTCCATCCATTCACAGTCTAATCTCTTTAAGTTAAGTTGTACTTAATACAGTGTTCAGTGAATGGACATTACAAGTGTCCTGAGTTCCTCTGATGGTGTAAGGGGGGGGCACTCCTTCATCCACACTTGATGTTGCACAGCATTTATAATAACTTGTGACAAATGACAAAAACATTTTTTGGTGTTTTGCTGTGAAATTTAAAGATTTTGCTCTGAAGAGGTAATTCTTGCAATTATTTAGTGGCATGACAGCTGCGTAGGGAGTTATGTGTCCTATGATGAGAGTAAGTAATACATGTTTATCTGAAGTACCTACACATATACACCTATTGGGGGGAGAATTATTTTTTTTATTTTAAACGTGATTTTTTTTTTTTTTCCTAACTAGAAACCCAAGAAGGTAAAACCAGTCCGTCCATCAGCCGCCACGCAAGCTTCGATACGGACCAAGTGTCCAAAGACTTTGTGGACTTCCTGAAAAACCTCCAGAAGCCCGGCCGGGAGATCCACAAGCAGTGCCGAGTCTTTCTCGTGAACATGTCAAGCAAGAAGGTGCGACGTACTCTGACGCTCATTGACTCAATGACACCAGTCGTTTACTTTTGAATGTTTCCATGACTTTCCACGCGAAGAACCTTCTAAGGTCTTTTGTCAACAGGACCTGGGTGCCGATGAGCTGTCAGAGTGCGTTCAAGATTTCTACCAGAATTTGGCCGACCGCCTGATGACTCACTTTAAAGGTAGGATTGCAGAAGTTGCAACTTTACCTCAAGTATTTATAACAATCATTAAGACATTCTCAATGCAAACAGTCTGAGAAGCCACTAGATGGCAGCACAAGCAGTATTTTATATGCTCTAATGTGCCTTTGTTCACCAGGCTCCTCTGAGTCTGTGGAGCAGGTGATGGACCAAGTGGAAAAGTACATCATGACTCGTCTGTACAAGAGCGTTTTCTGTCCAGAAACCACTGATGACGAGAGGAAGGACTTGGCCACACAGAACAGGATAAGGTGGTTCTTCCTGGACTGAACAACTCAGCACAGCCTGGTGTTTTTAGAATATAATATTTTATGTCACATTGTCATTTTTGTGGATTTTCCTGGCTTTGGCATTAGATTTTGTGCAAACATGGGGTTTTTATGTGTAAGCTGTGTGTGTGCCTGGTGAATAGAAAGCCTCAGTGCACAGCGCTCGCCTTTAATCTTCATCCGCCTGTGAAAACTTCAGTCTGAATGCTTTCTGAGTCTGTGCAGTTGATTACACAATAGCCATTTTTAGCTGTGTTTTTCTTACATTTGGAAGCACAGTGGCAGCTGCTGACTGCACGTGTCTGATGTGTTTGTCACCCTGGAGCGAAGTGACTGTAACAAATGTGTATGGTTACATCATATGCAGACACACAAAATACAAAAAATAAGAGTGTCAGGCTTACGTGAATGAACACAATGTTTGTATGCCTTTTTTTTTGTCTCTGATTCTGATTCTCTGTGTTGCAGGGCTTTGCACTGGGTGACCATCCAGATGCTCTGTGTGTCCATGGATGAAGAAATCCCGGAAGTCTCTGAGAATGTGGTGAAAGCGATAACAGGTCAGCGAGCGGTCAGACGCGCTGTTTGATTGCGCTTGATCCTAGCGGTGCTGTCGTTTTGCAGTTTTGTCGTGAACTTCACAGAGACCAAAATCTGAGTTAAAAAAGAGTGAATGTTTTACTCCATCAGATAAATGATTGGTCATGAGTATCACTGCTGTCCTCACTTGTTTCTGCCACACACAATGTGTCCTCATTAAAACAGTTTCGGGGAGTTAAAAGTCCAAGTAAAATTGTACAGAAAATGGTTACAAACCACAGAGTCACTGGGTGCTGGAAGTCAAGTGGACATCTGTCACCCGCCTGGTACATGCTGTTGGAAACCTAGAAATGACCCCCAACCCTTTAAAGACAGTGGCCTACCCCAGAATGATAATAGACCCCGCCATTTCAGCAGAAAAATATTGAGGAACAGCTCGAGAAACACAATGAAGAGCTTCCAAGCTCCCAGAATTGCAATCCATCCATCTCCAGAAGCGAAATGTATAAATCCACCTGAATATGGGCCATCTCTCCTGTAGGGATCCGTTGCAGTCAAAGCCAAAGGCCTTGGCGGTCTGAAACCCTGCTACTGAAAGTGATTGAAAATGTGAATTAGAACCCCAAACTAAAAACTGCAGTTCTTCTGATGGCCACTTGAGGCTGGCTCCAAAAGTGGCTCTGTCCTCATAGACTCCCATGTTAAAATCTTAAAAGTTAACAGCATTAAAAACCATATTTACAGCCACCTACAAAACATGGCTTTGACCTCTGTGAATTATGCCTTTTTATAACATGTCTATAACTTCACACACAGATGTGCCAGCAGTCCATGAGGGTTCACCTTCACTGCTTAGACTCACTTAAATTTAGTTTGACTCATTTACTCCATTTATGAGTCTTTTATTAAAATTGTAGGTGATGCAGCATGGGAAAAGGTGCAGACTGAGAAATCCTGACTGTGCACATCTTTACATCAATGTCTGCAAATATTTATCAAAATTAGGGGCAGGGATAGAAGGTCGGGGGTTAAAATCCACTGAATGGCTATCCTGAGGTACCCCTGAGCAAGGTACCGTCCCTACACACTGCTCCCTCGGTGCTGGATTGGCTGCCCACTGCTTCGCTAGAGTGAATGGGTTAAATGCAGAGAGTAATTTCTATACAGGGATAAATAAAGTATACATTATATTACAAAATTATGTCAGAAAATATAGTTTATTGAACATTTTAACCATTTCTGTTGTTTAAACTCCAAATAAACAACATTCTGTCCCGCTCAGTGCATCCACACACATCTAGAAGGGCGATGGGGTCAGTGAAACTTGCCCCCTTTAATGACGCTGGCAACCTTTCCATCTTGGGCCTGAGGCAATAATGCTGTGTGCATTGCAGTTGATTGGCTGTTCTTGTAAACCTAGTGAGTTTTTATCTGAAGTTTAATCATTTACTAAAGTTCAATAATCCAAAGAACAGAGACAGTTTCACACAGTTAAGTTAAGCCTATCAGCCACTGCCTATCTACAGGGTCCTATCCCAACGGATATGAGCCACAGGACACCTCCTGATGGTTTTTGTAGCCCAGAGGGGACATAGGCTGTTTCAGGCAGGTGTTCTTAATATTGTGGAAAAAGAGTGAATATCTGCTCTTTGTTCTATGTTCTCCTTTGAGAAATAAGCAGCCTTTTGTCTGCCTTTGAAGAGGTTTTTCTTGTCTTTGTAGTCTTTAAAACTGAGCTGTATGGCTTTCAAACAGTCGCTCCATCCATCCTTCATGTGTAGAAATGAGCTTAACTTGCTAATGGATTTGATCTGGCAGCGCCGTGCGACGTCTGGTGCTGCAGATGGTGAAGACAGACGCTCTGCTGTGAATATATAATGTTCTTTAAGTGCCAGGATGGAAATAAGTCATTTGTAAATCATCCTTATATATATTTTACCTCCAGAGCAGAACAAATAAGTTTTACTTAATAAACGTGTGACCTGGTTAGCTCTTTGTTTCAGCCTTCATGAGCGAATCTTGGTCTGTTCCAGATATCATTGAGATGGATTCGAAGAGGGTTCCTCGGGACAAACTGGCCTGCATCACACACTGCAGTAAACACATCTTCAGCGCTATTAGGATCACCAAGAACGAGCCGGCGTCCGCCGACGACTTTCTCCCCGCGCTCATTTACATCGTGTTGAAGGCTAATCCTCCACGACTTCAGTCCAACATCCAGTACGTCACCCGATTCTGCAACCCCAGCAGGCTGATGACCGGAGAGGATGGATACTACTTCACCAACCTGGTCTGTTTTTCTTTCTTCTTGTCCTACTTCAAAGCCTGTTCGAGCTGATGACCTGGGGTCCAATGAGGGTAGTTTAACATGTCTGTAATAGTGTTTCTCCTGCCTCACCAACAGATTTTGAGGGGTGATTGTTCATGAGAGCACAATGACATCATGCACGAGAAAGGCAATGAGTCTGAGCTGCTTTACTTGAAAGAATTCAGTGCATTGAGTAAATACACCCAAACTAACAAAAAATGCACAGAGGAAAAAAACGTGTAGTTGTAGTGTCGGTAATTTCCTTCCAGGATTCATTATAAGGAATCGATTTGTGTTGTTTTACCTAAGAAGTGTGTTTGCTTCAGGTGGCAGAAAAGCCGATTTAATGTGTTTTTGTATACTTAAGCTAAATTGGCAAACATTATGCATGAACATTTTTTGGTCAAAGCTTCTAAACTGTGACAAATTTCTGCTTCTTCCTGTTGGATTTTATTGTGAACGGATTAATTATTTATTTGTAGTTTTTACTTGAGTCTCTGAAAGTTAAATTTGGAGGATTCTGAGAGATTTTACAGTAAAAATTGATAAATCCAGATAATGAAAAGTGAAATAAGTTTTGTGTTATAACTGTAAAATCAGAGTAAAGATTTCAGTGGTTATTTAGCAGCCAACACATCAATACACCAAACCTAGCAAACCTGCTAATTTACATAACATAAGACCACTGTTCAAGATGTGCCTTAAATGCTGGGAATGTGGAGCGCCTCTTTATTGTCTTTGCTGAGCTATTCGTGCACTTAGTTCCCTTTACTGACGGCACAGTTTGTCCAAATGTAATTAAACCCCTTAATGAATAATATCCAAATATATGTGGGAGTATGGAGTATTTAATGAGTGTTATGTCATAGACAAATACATTTTTCAGATTTGAAGGGCTTAAACGTCTCTGTCTGCTTTTTTTTCTTTTAAAGAAACAAGCATTATATAAGGTTATTTCTTATCTGCCAGTTTTAGAGGCACTGATAGGTGCAATCGCATGGCCTTCAGACAGAGCCACACAAGCTCTTCCTCACAAAGCTAAGCAGAACAACAAACACACTCAAAGGCCACTTTATTAGTTATACTTTGCTAGGATCCTATTCTTGCATCTTCACGGCATAGTAGGAACAATCCAAGTGTTACAGCAGAAACCGAGATTCATCAGACCAGGCAACATTTTTCCAATCTTCTGTTGTCCAATTTTGGTGATCCTGTGTGAATTGTAGCCTCAGTTTTCTATTCTTAGCTGATAGGAGCGACACCCGGTGTGGTCTTCTGCTGCAGTAGCCCATCTGCTTCAAGGTGTGATGTGCTGTAAATTTAAAGATGCTCTTCTGCACATCTTGGTTGTAATGAGTAGTTATTTATGTTATTGTTGCCTTCCTAACAGCTCAAAGGAGTTTGGTCATTCTCCTCTGACCTTTGGCTTCCTCATTTTCTCCCAGAGAACTGACCGCTTCCTTTGGCTGTGTGGGGAAAATCCCAGCAGATAATCTGTTACTGAAATATTCGGGCAAACGACCATGCCACGTTCAGTTTCTCTTATGTCATGTTTTGTCCTTATTATGATGCTTGGCAGGTCGATACCATGTGATTGGCCAATTAGATATTTGCATTAACGAGTGGTTGAACAGGTGTATCTGATATTGTAGCCGGTGAGTATATTTCCGAGTTGGTTTAATTGTCACGTGTGCTTATACCTGCATCCTAACAGGCTTTAAATGAGGCCTGCAGAGACGTTTATGTGACTCTTTAGAGAAGCATAATTGTCACGTCATGGCACTCTTGTTCCCCAAAATGTTGGACTAACCCTTGTAACATAAGGCCATCTGGCTCTCTGTGACTCAGTTTGACGTGCTGTCAGAAAATCATCCATGATTTCAGTTGGTTTTTTTGTTTTTTTTAATTAATTAATTAATTTTTATTTTTTAGTGCTGTGCAGCTGCCTTCATCGAGAAGTTGGACGCTCAGTCTCTCAATCTTTCCCCGGAGGAGTTTGAGCGTTACATGTCGGGCCAAGCCTCGCCAAGATGCAGCAGCGCAGAGGGCGAGTGGCCCCACACCGGTCCAGGAGCTGGCGTGGCTGCCACCAACCCTGTCCTGGCCCAGCTCAACCACAATCTGGAGCAGCTGTCGACCATCAGCAGCCGGCAGGAGAAGGTGATAGAGGCCGCTCAGAGCCTCCAGGCTGACCTGCTCTCCTGGACCGAGAGCGTCCAGCGGGAGGTGAACGACATCCTGGAAAAATATCCGCTGACCTGCACAGTTTCTGCCATTGATGCCAACAACATAGACAACGACAACCTGCCGCCGCCGCTGACCCCTCAGGTGTTCGCAGGGTAGTAAAGTCAGTAAAGGGAGAAGAAGCATTTCGCATGCCATGAAGGTACTTTACTTTGAAAATGGGAGTTTCCCAGTAGCCTCTGCACCTTAAATTTAAAGTGAAGTCATTTCAGTCAGAAAAAGGAAGAGAGAGGGGTGAGCTACAGGGAGAAGCTGCTTTTATTTGATTATTATTATTATTATTATAACTGTAACTATAAAAACACACTCCACGTACAACTGTTAACAAGGGATGCATGAGCTATGGAACATTTCTTTTTGTATACGTTTGTTGTATTTTGGGGCATTTTACATGGAAGTTTATGCTGACAGTCTCCATTTATGAGACTGCCTCATGTGGCCATTTATGGAACTGCAGGAACTGTCTTTGGCAGCTCAGTTTTGGCTTTTAGCTGTCGAGGTTTCTGCAGTTATGTTGCACAGTTCACTTTTATTCAACACCAAATGGACAAAACAAAACAAAGAAAAATCAAATAAATTTGAAACCAAATTTAGTAGGTTCATCAAAAAAGGTGTGGTCAATGGTCATTTTAGAAGAAAATAGGAAATTTATTAGGGAAAAAAAACCTTGTAAAGTGGTGAGAAAAAACAGGCTGGTTTGCATTAAAAACTTATGAGGAAAAGAAATGGCTAATTTCTCATAAATAAATGGTCAAATTACAAGGAAAAAATTGTCAATAAAAAACAATTTTTTAAAAGAGTTTTAAGAAAGAAATTCATGAGAAAAACTGGACAAGTTTGCAAGGAAAAAATAGCAAATTTGCTGTAAAAATGTTTATGAAAAATAACAGGTAATTATGTAACCAAAAACAAACAAATTTATGAGAAAGAAATGGCAAAAATATAGCACATATTAAACTCACCAGCTGCTGTTACAGGCAGATGATGCTGACAGGCTGGAGAAGAGAATACTCGTGTTAGTGATGATATGATATGAAATAAACGTACCTAAATTTACGTAACAATTAAAATAGATTTTAAGTGCGCAAATACAACAACCAGCTTCTGATGACTATCACTTATTGTCAGCTGTGATTTCGATTTTGCTCTTATTAATGACAAAATAAGCTCCTAAATGATAAGCTTGTTTGTCAACATTTCTTTACATGTTCACTCTTTATTTCACTAAAAAGCGATCCCACAAAAGAAAGAAATTAAAAAGCAGACTAACGTGTGTGTGTGTGTGTGTGTGTGTGTGTGTGCAATTACGGTTTCCCTGTAACACCTTCAGCTGCCATTGTTATCTGCCACGGTCTTGAATTTTTGTTGGCGTGGAAGTTTAAACATCTGCAGGCCTGCAGATCGATGTTTTAGTCTGAGGACAGTTTCACGTTTGTCATTTTGTAGAGAAAAGAAATTCAGGTCTTACACATTTCTAACACAGAACCGCTTACAATTATCCTGCAAGCATGAATTTACCCTGAATACACACTTCAGGTTTTGTGTAATTTATGTTTCAATATTGTACTGTGTGTGGTTTTTTTTATTTGTTTTTAAAGATTTACAGTGTTTGTCTGGCTTTCTGCACCACATACCGGCCTCAGTAACAAACCATTGCAAAAATACACATGTTACATGATCAAAATACTATTACTAATGTATTTTAGATTTTTTTTTTTTTTTTTAAATCTCATTTTGTGTACTGTATATTGTTAAAACAGTCCAGTGTCTGCCACTTTAAACCACTCCTGGTCCTGTTTCTGTGTTTATTTATTGACCGAGGATCTTTTAAGTACTGTCAAATCCAATAACATTGCTAGTCGCTGAAATAAAAGCAAAGGGATCATATAAAAGCCTATAAAATGTGTGATTACTGTAAATTTACTCAGCTGCAAAAAGCATCTCCATTTGCCACGTGTGGCTTGTTTAATCCTCAGTAACAACCGCTTGATCTTGAAAAGGTTTTTGCTGTACATTTCTTTTTCTCTGTGCCACAGAGCTCTAATATCGGAGCGACATGTTCAGGCAGTAGCAGCAGCGCCAAATGTGTATTAATCCACAGCTGAAATTAGTCCCATGCGATTTCACTATTCACTCTAAGCTACAGTTCCCAGCTATTTCATATAAATTTTATATGTTTGTGATTTTAAAAAATTGATTTATGCCTTAAGATGTAACTGAAATATTTTGAGTGTGTATGAAAAATAATGAAATCTGTTGAATTGAAATTGAAAAACAATGTGTGATGAGCCAGACTTGTGAAGTAAATCTGCTACTTTAACTTTAACTAATACTTAACTAAAGTTTTAAGTAAATTAAAGTGAAAACTTCAGATGAATCACATGAAAAAATTAACACAGTTAATAAATATTGGAGTGATGGATGATGTTATTTTGTTTTTTTTTTTGTTTGTTTTTTTTTTCTGAGTGGAATAAAGAAAACAAAAACAAATGTTTTGGTCTTGTTCCTTATTCCAGGGTTGTCAAACAAATGGCCCAGGGACCATGACAGGCCCACCAAAGGGTCCAGCACGGCCCACTGGGTGACTTTGAAAAAAATACAAATTTAATCGGTGAGGAAATTTTGACTTTTAATGTTATTTGTTGTAAATAATAGGACATAAAAACAGAGCTGAAATTGTTAATGAATTCTGAGCCAGAGGTTTAAATCATTGTTAGTTTTACAGCCGCCCTGCGACAGACTGGCGACCTGTCCAGGGTGTACCCTGCCTCTCGCCCTATGACAGCTGGGATAGGCTCCAGCGCCCCCCGCGACCCTGAAAAGGATAAGCGGAAGCGAATAGATGGATGGATGGATAGTTTTACAGCCACCATACTGACAAAGACCTCACCGATGGCGTGTACACAAAAATGTTAAAAGCATTAACCCTGTCAAGACTGAACCATTAAATGATTACAAAAAGTAACCATTTAATGGTTAAATCTGGAGTGTTTACTGAACAATTTGGCAATTTAAAAACAAAAGAAACATCAATTTGAATTTTTATCATTTTGGCCAAATCCAGCTATTTTTGTGCAGTTTCAGATTTATCAGCAATTTCCTTTACGGAGGTCTCATGTATCAGAGATCAGGGTTTAAGTTTTTGTTCCTAGTATTAGCAATGCATAAAATAACAATGCTGGTTATTTAGTTTTTCCAGTGGAGCTGAACACAGTTCTGCTCAATAGTAATTTTATCTCTTCATATTTCTTCATGGGTGCAGCCCTCCACAACAGTCTCTGTTTCTGTGGCCTCTGCTAGATGAACCGTTAAACGTCAGAAAATTCACACAGTAAAAAAACAAATAAAATTCTCTTTTAATTATGGGTCATACTGCAGGTAACGAGCTGCCAGTGTCAGTATGTGTGGTTAAAAAACAGGCTGTCCATCATCAGGTAAAAGGAATAACTTTACACACTAAAAAGGTTATTAGGAAAAAAACAACAATGATTTTAACATACCAGACTTTATCTAGTCTGTGAACAGGAGCAGAAATACACTGTACACCTCCTTATCTGCTCCTTAATGCAAATATCTAATCAGCCAATCACACGGGAGCAACTCAGTGCGTTTTTTGTAGTCGTGGTGAGAATTAGACCTGCAGTAAACAGAAACTAAACGGTTAATTTAACCATGAAATATGAACCTAAAATCTGAATTCAAAGTAAAATTACATTTCTCATTATTTTTACTTTAATATTGCAAAATCAAAAGCATTTACCTAAATTACCTAAATGTACATCTACAAATTTTTTTACCGTCTCAGGACAGTCGAATCTTATGTTTTGTTGCCAGTTTGTGGTCAAAGTCAGCTTTTCCACATGTGCAAGTGAACAGATGTATGTCAAAAGAAGGAAAAGTTTTAGAACACCTTCTAGTGATGTTTACCTTCTCTCTCCTTTGCTGCAGAGAAAATGTTCAGTAGGGTTTAAATCTGGAGCCTGAAGTGGACACTTTATTTAAGACTGAGGCTGATAAAAGCTTTGGTTGCACCTCGGTGTGGCTGGGGGGTGGGTGTCACTGTCTTGTTGCAGGATGAAGGTCCTGCCAAAATAATCTTTACACTTCTAAACAACACCTGCTGCTCCCCCCCCGCTGTCATCTGTTCCTCTGTCAGTGAGAATGAATTATCCGAGTCTGTCGAGGATGACGGTTTTTGCTGCTGTGTGCTTCGCTGAGGAGCGGGAATGATTTGAGTCAAGGGCACTTTGTGGTTTTCTTCACACTGTTGGCTTTTTCCCTGACTTTGGCAAAGGTTGCATTTATGCTCTCATCTGTCTCATAACTTTGCTTCAAGGCCAATTTTGGGTGCACAACACAAACTTTTTCATTATAAAATCTCCACATCACTGTCACACTTGTTTTGTGGTTATTCTTCAAAGCTTGGAGGATACCGTTTATTTTGAAGTCCATCACTAGTTTCTTTTCTGTTTTCTGAGCTTGATGTCAATCCTTTACTTTTTGTTTCCTCTTCTTACAGATAAGTTGTTTTTCTGTCATGTTCAGCTCTTTGGTCTTCGTGCAGCCTTCTGGCTCCAACTGATGCAAGATGAAAAGATGTGAAATAATGAAATGAAGGCTGGACGCCCACTGCTCTCACCTGCTGTGAAGAACTGATTCAAAAGGAAACACCTGGGCAGCGAGTTACACCTGCCACTGTGTTGCTTGCTAACTTTTGCACAAAAGACTCCAGCCTCTACTTTTGCCAGTTTGATCTCAGATTTAAAAGCCTGAAAGTACTAAAATCAACTAATTTTGATGTACTGTTTACACACTTTTGAAGTGCTGTGACAGGGACATTCATATTTCATCTTCTGTCAAGTTACAAACTAACAAAGATTAACCAAGAAAATAAATGAAGATAATCGTTACTTATGTTGATACCTCACTTTTGTTTGTGCTAAGCATTAGATTATCATAGTAAATTTTGGAAACATATTTATGAGATAAAAAGGACACGTTACAATGATGCAGGCTTTGGTTGTGGGTTAACAAACTCACACCGAAACTTGTCCACCTATGTGGGTGTGCAAAAAAAGCAGTCTGTGGACTGGTGCGCTACATTGATGGACATTGGCTAGTTGCGATGTCAACCAGTGGTTTGTGGAAGACTTCACCATTTTGTTTGTAACCATCTGTGTTTTGGGAGGACAGAGTCACAAATGTGACGTGGATCTGATTGGCGAGGACCCATGTTTGCTTTTTATATGGTAGTCTATATAGTTGCTGCTTGATTTTAATTCATAAGAAACAAAAACATTTTATGAGTTACAGTGGTCCCTGTTATTGGAGTTACGTTCTAAAAATAACCCGCGATAGGTGAAATTTGTAGCCAGCTTTATTTTTTTATAGATGTTTTAAGGCTGTAAAACCCCCCACTGCACACTTTATACACTTTTCTCAGACAGGCATGAATATTTTCATACTTTTCTCTCTTGTTTAAACACTCTCAAAGCTCAACCCTTCGTAGAAAAGTATGTCCAGTATTATAGAATTAAACCAAAGATCAAACCCTGTTTTCAGGTCCAGAACATGCGAATAGAGCAACATTAATGAATCAATGGTACGGAAGTAGAGGAAGCAAGAAGAATGAGTTGAGTAAAGTTTGACTTATCCTTATGGTCCGAAAAATACGGTAACTTCTACCTTCCTTTAGCATATCCAGAAGTCCAACTTTTTTGTGCGATGGGTAGCATCTTCCTCTGCCTTTTTGGTGCCACCAGAAGTGCCTTTAACGGTGCAAAACATTTCATCGACATTGTTGTGTTTGTTGAGGGGGGGGACTTACAAACATACAGTACAGCACTTCAGAGTCACACTGCTCGATCGAAGATTTATATAAATTTGACAAGCTGAGCGCATTCTGTACCGTACAGGAGACACTGCATGGAGGAGATTGGACAATGGGCTACAGCCAATCAGGACGCAGAACACGATGCGCTGTGGAAAAAAAAAAAGAAATCAAGTAAAATTGCACAATAAAAATCAGCAAGGCGCGTTATCCGGTCGTTAAGTCTGACATCACTAGCCGTGTCTGGACCTAAACTCCGCTGCACGTCCATATATCAAACGATCACTATGGCATTACTGAGAGTTGAAAAACTGTCTAAAGTCTTTCATCTTTAATAAAATGATAAGCGTTCTGCTCTACCAGGTGTAACAATTGAGTTTAACATCCAGGCATCCATGAAAACGGAATTTATGACATTTAACGGAGTTAGAAGTTAGCAGGGAGTTAGCTCGTTAGCTTCTATCTAAATTCAATATAGCATGTCCTGACTGCGGGGTTTTGGAAACAAATTAAAACGTACAGCTCTGTTATCACTTCCAGCATAAATGAAGACAGAAAACTAAACAGTGACGTTTGTAGGGTTACTGAAGTTGGGCTAGCTGGTATATAATGATGTGCTACGTGACCGCTAGCGACACAGCTATGTTAGCATAATATAAACAAGCTAACTTTTTTTTCCCACTCGATAAAAGTTAGCGTGAGTGTTCTCGGTGGTCAGGAACAAATGTAATCGCATGGCAGGATGCTGTAAAAGGACCAAACTTCAGCCAGGAGAACAACTGAGATAATCCATCCACAATACGAGCATATACTGCTGCATGGGCTGGGCTGTAGTTACATCCTAAGGTTTTAAAAACTGAGCTTAAATAAATGATTAGCGGTAATAAAAGCTGAGGGAGGTCAACAGTGATCACTGACTGTTTTAGGAGCTTTTTGAGATCAAATAGAAGAAAATACATAACATTAAACATGTTAACAACACAAAAGCCATATTAAACGCAGACTACTTTAGGCCCGGAAGTAGGATTCGTGGCGTCATCACTGAACAACCGGATAGCGAGGGACCACTGTATGCAATTTTAAGTGCAAATTTCAGAATTCGTAAACTTATAGGAAAAGCAGACAAAAAACAAAAAGGTGTCCTGAAAGTACGTCAGTAGATTCTGGATTTGAGTAAAAGTGTTACAAAAACAACATCTTACCAAGTTCATAATAAGCAACTTACTGTTTATTTATTGATACTTTTAGGTGACAGGTGAGTTATTTCTGGAGACTCAAACAGTCACTAACCTTCATCAGAAGACTCCAGTGTGCAAAAGTGACAAAATGCAGTTTTTAAAGGGCCATTGTCTGAAGTCAGTTAGCTGTAAACAGCAAGTCATGGCTTCGTGTCGTACTACTTTAAACGAACACTTATCATTGGGGAAGAATCTTTCATTGGTTTAAACTAGAGTTTGCATCCATTGAACTGTATGTGTTCCTTATAACAATAATAATAATAATAATAATAATAATATCATCATACAGTATATACAGAATACAAGATAAATCAACTGCAGTTAATGTTTATACATGCTTATATATTCCTGAAAAACAAATAATGAAAGCTTTATACATACAGTAAGGCAGAGAATATATACAGAACTAACCTAAAGGAAGTAGTATCAAACATGTGTCAAATACTGCAACAAAACAAAGAATTTAAAACATTTTGTAATATATACAAAAATACTTAGCAAATGCCCCTAGGAATATCTTAATAGAAAAAATAATAGGAATCTTGTCAGGAGGACATCACATTATATTTGAAACATGCACTTGCCGCAGGGGGTTTTCACTCCAGCGGTGGGCCACATGTCTACGTGTTTTCTCGTTTTTGGGGTAAATGTAAATCACTGAGAAAAAAGCAGTTCGTGGTGCAGGGGTACTTGGTCTACTGTGCTCATTGGTCCTCAATGGGTGGCCTTCCTCGGCGGGAGACCAACAGTACAGTCCATTAATCTCGTTTTGACTTCACGCTTGCCTCTTGCCACGCTCGCTACACTTTGGACTCACTCTCTAAATTGGCAATGTCCCCGTTCCTCTCGGTCTTCTCACTCTTCCCCTGCTCGTCCAGGTTGGTTTTGGTCTCCTGACCCTCCTGTTCAGACTCTGGCAGCCCCTGCTGGCTCAGCTTGCTAGCCAGCGACCAAGTTAGGGGCAAGCGGGCGCGGTTGGTCATATCAGCGAGCTCTTTGGCACTGCAGGTGGGTGTGTCAGTTTCGTAGATGTCGTGGAAGCTGTTGTAGTCCACCTCGTAGAAGCCGTCCTCCAGCGTCAGGACGGGCGTGAAGCGGTAGCCCCACTTGATCTCACTGCTGACGTAGGAGCTCCTTGCCTGGCAGGTCATACCTGGAGAGACAAAACAAGGAAAACCATTAGAAACTGTGGGACTCGTGTAGTCTTAGCAATCTTTAGTCAAAATGGGAGTCCTAGTCTATTGCAGTAATTTATCTTTGGCTGTAAGGCTCCAAACAGCAGCAACAGACACAGAAAATCTAGCATTAAACGCATTGGTGGAGGTGGGTTGCAAAGCAGCTTGCAGAGGCAGCATCAACTTTATGTACGCTAAAGCAGCTTAAATAGCACACCCCATCAGAGAACTTTCAGTACGATGTATAGAGCGTATGGACTGGTGTCATTGTCCTTTTGTACGACTCAATTTCTGCCAATTTTTAGCTGTTGGACAGGTTGTTCTAGAATATTTATACAGACGCAGTGACCTTAATCATCCCTCCACCACCATGCTTCATATTTGGTTTGAGTGTTTGTGCTGACATGTGGTGTCATCTGTCCAAAGGGCTGTTCAGTTGCGGTTTTGCAAACCTAAGCTGTGCTGCCATGTTCTTTTAGAGAGAAGAGGGTTCCTCCTGGTAACCCATCCAAACCAGCTATTTGTTGTTCAGTTTTTCCCAATCGTACTGTCACGAACTTTAACACTGAACGTGCTGACTGAGACCTGTAGAGTCCAAGATGGAGCTCTTGGGGTTTTTGCAGTTTCTCTGAGCACTGCATCGTTTGACCTTGGGTGAATCTGCTGGTATGGTCACTCCTGAAAAGATCTGGATGTTTCACACCAGTAAACTGCCAGAACACTTGCTCTTATAGAGGTTAACCAAGTAGATTTATATATATATATGTTTTTTTTGTTGTTGTTTTGTTTTACAGTTTTACAAATTGGCACCATTTAGTTTGCTGTAACAGCAACTATCACAAATAACTGGATTATTTAGACAGATTTAAAAAATGTGACAGTTCTCAGGCAACGTCGGCAGCTATAAGGAGCATCTTTTTTCTATAAACACTCAGCAGATTTATGGCAGGTTATTTGCGATAAACAGCAGGAATAATGATATCCTCGGAAAGTGTAAATTACTCAGGGAAAAGCTGTGATTTTTTTCCCTTCCCTCCCTCTGTCCACTGTCATCACTCCCAGGGTCCCGTGGGGGTCTTCACAGCTCAGAAGCAATAGTAGATTTATCCTGAAGCCTCCCTGAGGCTCCTGTCATCACCCTGCGTCACCATCCCCATCTGCCAGATGCTGCTCACACATTTTATCTTCCACAAACAACCCATTTGCTTCCCTTTGAATTGCTGCGATCAAGTGCATTTTAAGTGCTATAATTCCCTCTGCATTACAACTACAGTAACTAACTTTCTGTTATTTTCAAAGCTCCTGTCCCTTTCACCTTACATTTGCACCTATCTTTGAAAAATCGAAGCAAGAAGTGACAGCATATTCCAGTTTCCCGCTTTGTTGGGCAGAAGAATGATTTCTGAAAAATGGGCATTGGTGGCATTTATTTTCTCCTGCTTGAGCTGTGCTAACGATGGTACTAGCAGGTAGAGTTGGATTTAAATGAGGCTTATCCCTCAACGTTCGCCTGGATGTACAGGCGTGTTGTTGTAATCTTTACAGCATCGTTACTGCAGGTGATTTAAACACACTTCCTCTATGGTTAGTTAACTGTAACCAGGAGTGGGTCCTAATCACTTTCCAGCAGCGTTTACTTGTGTTTTCATATTCATCAGTGAGCTCTTTGGCTCAGCTGTCTGCAGGAAACAGAGTCCTCAGTGAGCCTCCAGCAGCTGTTTCAAAACACGTCACGCAACGATTATGTAATTGGTTCTTTTTGTTTCATTGAGTCTGAGAGTGAGACAAATGATCGAACACCAGTTCAGAATTCAGGCATTTCAGCAACCATCTCATCTAACATGATGATGTGAAAATCGAGTGATTTTTGGGATGGTGACGCAAATCGTTGGTATCTCCCTCACGTCTCCTACTGCCCATCCAGATGTTTTGGTCATCCTGCTCTCGGCTGTGCAGCTGTGCTCTGCACAGGCCCTCATCTTTTTAAATCTAACTCTAACGCTTTACATCTGTCTTTATATACATCTCTGTTAGCGTTTCCTCATCCCGGGGACCTTCTTTAAGATAGACGATGATGATGTGTGTCTGAATTGAAAACATAGCGTAATTAAAAAGAGCTGCATCAATTGTGTTGACTGCTGCGGCATGACTGAAAGGAAACTTAATTGGGACACATTTTAAAGTAGAGGTGGCACGATACCACTTTTTAATGTCCGATACCAATTCCGATATCATAAATTTGGATATCTGCCGATACTGAGATGAATCCGATATTTTGTAATCAATAAAACTGTTTTTTTTAAATAAATATCTTGCTGCATTTTGTAAAAGTTCATAATCAAGTTTTAAAAAACAAGAGACTGAAGCTATTCTGTCATACCTGTATGCAAAAAATACACTGCACTCAAAACATTTTATAGTTCAGCAACACTGAACTATAAAATAATAACTTTAAATCTACACCATCCCCCCTATTCTGGTATTTTAAAGAGTACTTAGTGGAAATATTAAGCAACCTATCTAATAGGGTTGCCAACTCCCAGCAAAAATATTAGGGAACCACCCCCCACCCTCCACCTCATGATGCTTAATCGATGTAATCAACTTTAATTTAATGCAAGTGTAAGACAAATGCACAGAAATCAATTCTTTTTCTACAATAATTAATTAGATTCAACATCTTTCTTCAACAGAATTGCAGACTGCACAGATGGTACCTTCCCAAAGGAAAAAGTACTATAGCTTACTAGGGTATATATTAGACTTATTACTTACTATATACAATAATGGATTTCTATACATTTAATCAGATGACCACTTTTGTTGTAAGATTCAGATAATTATTTATTCAAAGTTTTTAAATGACATAACAAAGAAAAGTATTTCTTTGTGCCCCCCTCTCCCTGTTAATGCCCAACCTGGCCCCTCTGGCAAAACTTTGCTAGACCCGCCCCTGCACAGTTACCAGCCGTCAGCTACGTAAAAAAGGATCCTGGTGTTATTTGTCTCTCGGAAACAGTTCATAACTTCCCTTTAACTCACCCGTTCAGTAAGGACATCTCCTGGTTTCATCTTCATGTTTCACTCTCGCTACATATCCAAATGGATATCATGACCAGCAGCTTTTACAGCTGTGGCTCCAGCAAACCTCAGCTTATACTAGAAAGTAATATTAAATACATTCTAACAACAGCTTATCACGCTTAAACGTGCTGGTGTTGTTTATCCGCTGGTTTCCTCTTTCTAGCGCAAAGTGGGCGATAAACAATCAAGACGGGACTTGCAGCAGAAAAGCCGATCAGCTGATCATTGATCAGTTTCATGTTTGAAGTAATAACAGGAGAGGAAGGGGGAGTGAATGAGAGAAGTAGATGCAACTGCGCAGCAAAGACAGAATAACTCCAGCTTTGTGTCTATTTTTTAATTCTAGCTGAAGTACGGGACAAATCGCTTCCTTTTCACCTCAATATGGAACTCGATGGCCAGTCCAGCTGTGGCTTAATATATCAGTTGTTAAGCTTAACGTGGAAATACTATGCACACATTCAGGGATGAACTTACACACTTGCTTTATCACGTGACACATACTGCTCTGATATAATATGAGAAAAAACACTAATGCTGGACATATACAAAATTGTGTTGCACCTCCTGTTTGCATATGTGGTGTGATGAGGTTAATTAAACCTTAAACAATGTTGCAAAAACTAATTTTTGTGCACCACATAAAAGCAGACCACATGGAGACTAAAAGATGGCTAAATACCTCTGAAAAGCGATCTTGAAACCACTGACTATCCCCTGTCTTTAGCATTTTACTGGCTTTATAAAAGAGTTATCCGCATTAGTAAATGACTAGTGGCATGTGGAACAGGAAGTCTTGTCCCAGTTATCTCCTGCCACCCTAAAATTATCTGAGGCTGTCGTCAGGCTTATTGATGGGTTCCCAGATTGACCCTGTGGGAGACGTGTGCACCAACTTTCAGTGGAAATCCCTTCAAAATAAGATTCCTTACGGTTGTGCCAGAAGAAGAGTGAGTGAAACTTAAAAATGTTACAGTGACTTAAAAATGAATGTATTTCAAAGGACATTGTAGTACATTAAAGCTGCAGAGTGCAAAGCAGTATTTGATTCCCCTCCAGTGTCTTAAGGTAAGATGTGGTTCATTGTAGGTCAGCAAGCTCTGACTACAGGTGAGCTTTTGTACTGAAGTCCACTGCCTTCTATGTATTACAAATCCAGCAACAATACAGTAAATCCAAATAAACTTGAAGAGATGTTTTTTTGATAACCTTCTGAGATATATGAGAAGTTGTGGCCAGATACACTGGTGTTCTCTCAAGATGTGCCTTTAATGGCAGATCCAGCGTAATGGCAGCCAGTTCACTATTATCAGAAAAAAGCTGAAATTCTAACGGCAGATTTAAGTATTTTAACAATTATTATTCAAACATACATACTGAAATCCAGCACAGCTGGTGGCATTGGTCAGGCTGAGCACTGAAAACATGTTTGTAATCATTTTGTTAAAATTACAAAATTAACTGAGCACTACTCCAGAGATATGGTGAAGCAGTTCTCTGCAATAAATAAAGCATTAGAAAGTCATTGTGTGACATTAGATCCAATAAACAGCAATTACTGTACACCTTAACCTCTGAGATTTTGAATCTGATGACTCACCTGTGGCCTCCACCATCCCCTCGAGGATCACAACAATTTCCAGCTCCTCCTTGGACAGGTGGGCCTGTGAGATATCCCAGAAGGGGCTGTTTTGATTGATCTCATGGCAGATGATGAGTGGCGATACCAGGAAGAGCCTGTCATCTCCTGTGTTGTAACCCACGTTTATATCTGTCTGGTTCAAAGGGATGAACTCCCCCTCCTTGGTCTGCTTAGACTTGATAAGCTTGGCCCTGATTGAAGCCTCGACGATGTGCGAGTTTCGGAGGTCTCCAACTCTGAACATCAGGCACAGCCGACCATCTCTCATGGAGATGACCGCATTGGTGGAAAACACTAGTGTCTCAGCCCGTTTCTTGGGCTGTGAGATCTTAACAAACATGCAACCCACCATGAAGGCATTCACGATAGATCCCAGCACTGACTGAACTAAAAGCAGCACTATTCCCTCGGGGCATTTGTCCGTGATCACTCTGTATCCATAACCAATGGTGGTCTCTGTTTCAATGGAGAACAGAAACGCTGATACAAACCCGTTGAGGTTATTGACACACGGAGTCCACTGGTTGTCTGCTATATGGTCCAGATCACCCCGGAGGTAGGCAATAAGCCACCACATGAAGCCAAAGAAGAGCCATGTCACCGTGTACACCAACACAAAGATGAAGAGGTTAAACCTCCACTTGAGATCTACCAGTGTGGTAAAAATGTCTGTCAGATAGCGGTATGTCTCTCGGACGTTTCCGTGATGGACGTTGCACTTCCCATCTTTCTGGACATACCGCTGAATCTTTTTCACCCGGTCGATTTCTGCCAGGTGTTTAGGCAGGTCCTCTCTGGCCTGCTTTGGCAACTTGGGCTTTCTGATTATTGGGCTCTCCACATCCTGCTCCATGGGGTTTCTCGGTGGATTCAAGCCTGCAAGACGAAGAACACAGCAGTGATCATGAGTTAGCAAGTGCAGGAACTCTAAGATGATGGTGACACATCTAGACGGTTGTTCAGGATCTAACTTATTAATATTTCAATACAATCAATACGATGGGTACCTCATTTGGCGTTATTTTACTTTAGATGCAGTGTGGTGTTTTAGAGAATAATATTTGACAGACAAGGAAGTATAAAAACAAATCCACATATGGAGCGTAAAAGAGCATACCACCTTGGTGTTTTGTAACCACATGTGATAAGTGAACTGCAACTATGACTATCAAACCACATGCTCAGACTGGATGGTCTAGATGGTCTGGATGGCTAACAACTTGTCAATCACATGTCATTAGTCTACAGCTACATAAACTAAAATATATCAAATCAAATGTTTATTTTTTTCCAAACAATCATTAATTAAGGAAAATATGCTGGTTATAAACTGAATGCATTCCAATCAAGAAATTTATTTGACCAGGTTGCATTAACTTCAATGTTTCACAGTGTAAGTGTAACAAAATCACGCAGGAAATTTACATGTAAACAAATTACTTAAAGTCAGCATTTTGAGCATAAATAATTTGAGATGTATTTGTTTTTTCTTTTCAGAAAACACACATATAAAATAACAAATATTTTACAGTTGTTTACGTTTGTAATTGGAACTTAAAATTTAAATATATTAGATCTGTCTAATTACAGTGAAAACAAGATAATATGAGCCTGCACAAGTCATTTTTTCACACTGTGTTTTTCACCAATCAGCCATCTTCAGTTGTTCAACCCTTCCCCCCTTCAGTTTCCTGGAGCTGCTACGACTCGCCCAAAACAACATCATCACCATAACAAATTGTACTTGACGTGGAGCAGTGGTGGGCTATTTTCATGGAGATGTCTGAATTAGTTTGAAAGCATAAACAATCGAAGAATTATGGTAAAAAGAAGAAAGCTCCTCTGGCTTGGTTGGCACAGAGGGTTAATTATTTTTTTCATTTGGACATGAATTATCCACACTGTCAAGAGTGGGGCTTTTAATGAAAATGCCACCCGAATAATACGATTCAGAAGTAGCTTTGGAAAACACGTCACTCAGCTCAGATTCATTACGGAAAACAATTACAACTAAGCAATAGTATATTGTTATTCCCAACGTTAAATGGCTTTCACTGCTGTGCGTACATCAGTGCTGAATTCATACTTTTTACTGCATTGGTTAGATTAGCAATTTAAATTTAATTCCACGGCGCCATCTGCAATAACAATGAAACCATTTGTGTGTGGAAATTAGCGTTCCTGATCGTATTTCCGTTGACCTCTGCCCACAAAGAAACTAACAACAAATTAAATTAATGCAAATCGACATTTTTGTAATGCATATTTTCTTCCGTCTCACTTCCCAGACTACTACAGATTGTACTAAATAACACATTAATCAACACTTGTTCTTGAGCTGCTATGCTGCCCCGATTAAAACCCACAAACTGAATTTAAATGTACAGCTTCTGTCATAAATCTTACCCTTAAATGGACATCCCAACTGCATGTTTTCTTTATTGGCCTCTACTATAGTAGCTTTGCATGATTCATGGTTTAAAATAATCTTTATTTCTATTACTGGGCTTTGGGGCTTTAGCTTTTCTCCCTTTAATCACACGTTGCTCGCAAATAGAGGCAGCAAGTGCATTTGTGCATTGATGTGACCATATTAGGGTTATCCCCAGAAAACATCATATAGAGCCAATAGAAGAAAGCAGTCTGATGTCTGAGCTTGTCTCACAGTTTGTTGAATGCAAGACCCAAAGAGCAGGCAGAAGTAACAAAAATGCACCTTTTATTAGGTTAAGTCCACAAGGGAAATAAACAGAAAAATCCAGAGTAGGAAGGTAACACAGATGCTTTGATAAACACTGAAGTGAAGGACTGGACTATTTAACCACATGGTAATGATCAAAGTGGAGGGAGCTGGGGAAATGAGTCACAGGTGGAGACACTGAGGACACTCAATGTCCTCATTGTCAAATCGGTCACAAAACACCTGACAAAATGAAACAGGTAATAAGAAGAGAACTAAACTAAGGAAACTCACTGAACATGGGAAACTGTGGCAGGTATAATAATAAACCAAATACAAAGACCTAACTCAAATATCAGACTCCAAAACGCTAAACTAGAACTTACACACTACAGAGGACTAACAAAAAAAGACAAATGTCTCAGTCACACTACAGTGAAAATAGGACAGAGTCATCCTTCAGACTAAATCGGTGGTTGCACTGAATTTTTCACGCTCAGAGACAGACTGAAAGTAGCTATGGTGATCTAACTGGACACCCAAAGGTCAAGCGTGCACCAACGCTCAACCTCAACCTGTGCAATCACATTCAGGGTGATTGTGCACATCACTGGGTGGAAGACAACCTGTCTCTGAACAACTCGGGTTTGACTTCTGCTGACAGTAAAAAAGTTTAGCTTTGCAAATAATTGTTGTTGAATTTATAAATGCAGACAGATTGCCAACACGAGGCCAGAGAGGTTCAGTAAGTAACAGCCATACTCGATGAGTCAGTAAAACACTGAGGCTGTTCTATAAATTCTCAACTGCAACTCTACCAAATTAGATGCGGCAGAAATGAAACACAACAAAACGCTACATCCAGTTTAGTCACAGTAATACAAGGCAGGCTCTTTATCGAGCCTCTCAAAGATCACGTCGAAGTCTACAGGTTGTCCGCTCTTTACATTCTCTCAGTTGAAGCTGCTTTTGTGAAAAAGGAAAATGTCTGGAAGGAGTGCTTACAGATGCATTTACAAATTAAACCAACTTAGTGTGGACAGTGTGAGTGGCAGCTACACAAACAAGGCACGCATGCAAATAATATCATAAACAATAGACCTCCTACTCTGCCATTGTTTAAAGCCTAGTGCGCAGATTCACCACCGCTAATAAACAGGCTCAGCGTGAATCCGGGCAGCTTCGGGTGCAGCTGAGGGAAAACGTGTCACCGCCTACGCTGCCAACAGCAAACTACGCTTTGTCACAGTAACTCATCCAGTGCAGAGCAAGTGTGTAACACCAAATTCAGGTTGTAATTCAGCTTCGTGGGTGCTGAGGAGCTCCCCGGCAGCCACGAGGACGCCATACTGCGAAGTGAGATTGAGAGCCATCACCCAAACTCACTTCGTATCCTGACAGCCCTTTTAAGACGTCACTTTTAGCTCAGGTTGGAGATTTAACTTAGTTTCCCAACAAAGCATTGTGTACAGTGGAGTATTCTGTGTGTGCTGTACTGTTGTGGCAAAGAGGCTTGGACAGGAAAACTCATGCATGTACAAAATACTCATACATAAGTTTTTAAGCAACACTTTTAAAGTTGGGCAGTTGTTGGGATTTTCAGTCATTGCAACAGGATAGTACAGAGAAGACAGGCATTAAATAGCCTCTGCATTAGTCTTATGGCAGTGGGTCACCTAATCAACCCAGTGAGCTACACCAGAGACCATCCAGTCTCTTTTTTAACTAAAAGCTTGGAAAACTGTGTGTATGTGACATGAGAGTTGTCAAATGACATCAGAAAAACTGAAACACTCTTTTTAGAAAATGAGGAATTTGTGCAGCTGCTGCAATATTGCTATTATAAAATAGTTACACCATTTGGATCATGACATTTCCGGCTTTCAAGCGATGTAAAAGTAAGGTGATGCTATTTAACCTCCGCTATTCATAGCTTTTTAGCCCTGCCACTTCTTCTTTTGTCTTCCACTTGTCCAGTTTCTTCAAAAGTTTTAAGAACAAACCGCACACCATGCTGAGATATGCCACCGTTTGGAAATCATCTTCTTGGTGCAAAAATCGAATTTTATGTCTGTCAAACTGTTACTTTTGGCATTTTTCAGAGATTCAACTAAAGAAACACTAAGTAACAAAACACCTAAAGGTACCATAAACTCAACACTGGTTCATCCCTTAAGTTAGTTGTCTTTTTTATGCTTGAATGATTCATAGGTCAGCATTAAATGGCTTACGAAACAATAACACAAAAAAATATTCTTCTGAGTGAAAAAGGAGCCAATGTCCAAAGACAAACTTTGGACCTTCAGGAAGCCTGGAGAAATAAGGAGTGGCTCAAGACTGAAGCATGAAGAATAGATTCAACAAAATCTAACTGAGACTTTGGAGTATATTTTTAAATAAAGCATCAATATGGAAATTCAGATAACATAGGGTCACATAGGGAGACCTCACAAGGTTAAATTAGAGCAGAAGAATTATCACTCGGTTCATGTCAGGACCTCTGAGGATTAGGAGAAAAAAGGGGGTCTATAGCCTGAGTCATTTTGTTTGACAGACATTATTAAGATATTAATGTCATTATTCACTCTATCCGTGGGTCATGCTCTCTATATCGAATCTCTTAAAGATCCCTGATCTGCTTCCTGCAGCCTACACATGTTGTATGATCTCTGAGTATGAACGCTAAAAAAAGAGCAGAATAAAAGGCTCGCATGAGACTCAGGTGTCCAAAAAGCTCCGCTGGCTCGAGTTTGACGTCATTGTTATGAAATGCACAACTGTCAGAAAAACATGCCCACATTGACAAAAATAAATAAATTGAGCTCTGAGGACAATTTGGAACCAGTTCTCAACTGAACTGGTTCTTTAATCCACACTGTGGTTGCACAAAATTAACTCGGAGAGTTATAAAGTTGGTCCTGCAAGGTTAAACTTCGCATAAAAATAGAACTTTTAAAGACACAGAAATGAAAGAGTTGCTCTGTTATTTAATTTGCTCGCTCTGAAGGTGGAGTTTAGTTAGGAGGAGTGATTCTGTCAATGTTATTGAACCGCCCTCATCTAGCCTATAATTTAAGGCCCAATCATTTAATTATTTTACACTAGTTTGAAATGCTTTTCTGGTGGTTTATGGTAAATATTGTGATATAAAATCCATCCATCCAGTTTCAGGTCATGGGAGAGCTCGAGCTTATGC